AACAATATTTTACCTTTGAAAAGTCCAGGAGTGGAATTTTATGGTGTTGTTTAGAAAATGGAACAGTCAGGATGAATTTGTATTCCAAGAATTATTCTCCATCGGTTCCTGATAAACTACTTATAGAAAAACGCAAGGTTAATTCTTATTTTAGGATTTACTGAAGTATTATTTATAATTTTTTGTGACGGATATTGAATTTTTTTTTGACTGTATTATTGGTTAATGGTTAATGGATTCTTATTGTTTTATTTTTTTTAATAATTGAAAGGAATTATTTAACAGTGCTTGTAGCCATATACAGTGAGATATTTCTCTGACTACAATGTTTTGAACTCATAATTTGCTAATGTTTTCTAGAACTAAGTGATATTTTTTGTGGGTGTATCTAATGTTTTTCACTCATTAACCAGATTTTTCTTACCATTTCAGACCAATCTGGCTAAAAAACGGGAACAGATGAAAACCACAGCATTACCAGAAGTCCCAGAGCAGAAGGAATTAAAAAATCAGAATGGGGAGGGAGAGGATATAAAACCTCCACCCCCTACAGATGACCCTGTGACCCCTAGTATACCTGATTCATTCCTTCAAAAACTGGGATTAAAAGTAGGCAAGGACCCAATCAATAAAGAATCCTCTTTGTAAGTATTCAGTCTTTTTCATGATTTTATATCAAATGTCTACATCTTGCCCTTTTTTCACAAAACTTGCTGCGTTTCTCCATAAATCATGATTTTGTGGTATTTTTTAACATTTCCATCTATGATTTAATTTGGGATATCATCAGGGTCTGATATTTAAACTTTGGGGTTCTGTTTACATATCATGTTACAAGGGACATAACTCTATTGAAGAAATGTTTTTTTTATGTGAGCTCCAAGTTACAAAGACATGGAGGAATGGGAGCAAATCCAAAATCAAGGTTTAAATGATTTTAAAGGGTCTCTTTTGCAAACGTCCGTAGATATCATTAGATGCTGAGTGTAATGGAATTGAATGTACTACAGACTACT